AAGTGCTGGGATTACAGGCGTGAGCCACCACGCCCGACCCAGTAAATTTTCTGTAATGTATTAATGTTTTATTAATGGAATATAGTGATAAACCCCGCCAGGCATGGTGGCTCACGCCTATAATCCTAGCACTTTGGGAGGCCGAGGTGGGTGGATCACCTGAGGTCAGGAGTTCAAGACCAGCCTGGCCATCATAGTGAAACCCCATCTTTAAAAAGAAAAAAAAAAAAGGAAAATAAACCCCATTGGGTTTTTGTAAATATATTAATACCTAAATTTTATGGACACAATTATTATGTAAGTCAGGGGTCAATCACATATGTGTAGAATCCCAGCTTCTTGGGATGCTGAAGTAGGAGGATTCCCTTGAATGCAGGAGTTTGAGACTATCCTAGGCAACATGCTGACACTCAATCTCAATTTTTAAATATATTTGTATCATGTTTTTTATATAAATAGAGATGGGATCTCCCTACCTTGCCCAGGCTGGTCTCAAACCGCTGGCCTCAAGCAGTCCTCCCACCTTGGCCTCCCAAAGTGCTGGGATTACAGGTGTGAGCCACCAAGCCCAGGCTACATTTGTATTTTTGAATCTGGGTATTTAATAAAGATTGGAATTTAACCTGCTGTTTTTTTTCATGGTCTACCATTTTTTAATGGCTTAATATATAATAATGTTTATAAACTAAATTGAATACAATTTATAAATTTTTGTTGCAAACATGCTGTAATGTACATAGCAACAATCACTATGACAGGTGGGTGCAGTGGTACAAACCTTTAGTTCCAGCTACTTGGGAGGCTGAGGAAGGGGAAACATTTGAGCCCCAGGAGTTCAAGGCTGTAGTGCACTATGAATAAGCCACCGCCATCCATCCTGGACAACATAGTGAGACCCTGTCTCTGGAAATTACAAAAGTGATGACAAATGTCATCTGAAAGATAGGTTGTTAACAGACAACTCCTATATCAGTTGATGTGCATAAGTGTATATGCGTGCTAGTGTATATGAATCTAAGTGTACATATATATACATATATATAAGTGTGTGTGCATGACTGCACAGATGAGCAAGTCTCTGGTTTTGTTAAAGGCATGTCATCTTTTTATATA